TTTTTGTTCATACGGTACGTACTGTTTGCTTATTATAATAATGCTTATATTGGGGTAAATTCTTTACATTATCGCTTATCCAATTTGGCATTTAATCATTGCTTGGGATAAATTATGCAAATCAACATAGTTCAATGTAATATTAATTTGCTTGCTTAATTCTTATAATTCTACTTGTATTTATCTTTTCATATGGCCTACATGCCGATATAATATATATATATATTTTTTTTCCTTTATGTAGCCACGAAGAACGTATTATTTTGACGATCCTAATGGTACCGCAGGCGATTGGGTTGACAAAATAAATGAGCTTTTAATAGCTAACTATGGATGATATATTTTGAAGATACTGCAGGAGAATTTTTGGTGCAAGTCCATGCAGAACTTCACCTTAGATTATGAGAAATCTGCGCAGATCCCGGACCCATTATTATAGCCGAGGAATTCATTATTAAAAATTCTGCACAGAATTCTATAAAATATTAAGTAACAAGTGCACACATAATTCAACATATTTAATTTAAGCTCACTATATTTAATTACCTTTCAATATAATTTTGTTAAATACAATTTTTTTTAATAAAATCAAAAAGCATTATCTTTCATATAAATATTTTTTAAATATTAGGGAATTGAGATTTCCACACTCCCCTTTTTGATATTTCCACACCTATGTAAATTACTTTTTAAAATTTTGATTAATGAAATTCGATGAACTCTTTTTTATTTGAATTCTATGAGTCCATAGAATTCAAATAACAAAAGTTCATCAAATTTAATTAGGTAGTTGTCGATTTATCTTCGATCAAAGTCATTTGCCGCGGCTTACATTTGAATAGATGTTTACATTTTTTTAAAATATCGGGAGGTTTATTAGTAAATTCATTATATCGAGAGAATTTTATGTAGACTGGCCTTGAGCTTAACTTCACTATATGTATCGAGATTTTTAATTTTAAAGGCTAATTTAATCAAGTGCAACTTTGGGCCTGAAATTACAATTTCGGATGGGGTATTAACTTTAGGCATAACATATATACAATATTTATTTTTTTTTACTATAAGATAACCGTATCGCCTTCTAAGTCAGTATAAAATTTTGTATATAATTATTTCATTAATAAAATATACAATTTTTACCAAAATTTTAAAATGTTCCAAGTAACCTCATTTTACCATTTTCGATGTCTTAAACCCTAAAATTTGAAAATTAGTTAATTTATAAGTTGAAAAATAATGTGGAGCTTAATGTTTATAGCGATGTAAATTTATATCTTTTATTATAGTTTTATTATAATTTATCACTACTTGACATATTCCCTGACTGATAAGGGTTATCAATCCAAATACTACTGCAATGCATTGATTCGTTCTAGAATTTCCTGCCTTTCATTTGAAAGATTTGAATAACGTTGCTGAAGTTCAGATTCACGTTTTATAAGATAGTCAACGTCATTTTGGAGGGACTAATAATATTAACAGATATTAATAAACAATAAGGCATTACACATTCGCTAAAGATGGTAAATGTTAAAAATACCTGAATACGTTTCGGTATCGCTTCCCGTTCCGAAATACTTAAAGATTGAAAAGAGTCAAGTTCTATTTTTGCTTGTTCAATTTCATCAAATGTCTCAGAAACATTCTTTGAAAGAGCTTGAGATCGGGCCTACATAGAAGAGTTTTTTTATTTAAACTTTTTGCCGTTAAGTATAATGCAGTAAGTTAAATACTTTCAAACATACAGCATAACCGCCCAATATAACATTTAATTTTTTCTCTAACTTAGTAGCCTTTGTGGCTTCTTTAATCATAAAATTACGATTAGCCTACATTATGAACACAAGCTTAAATTAATTTTTTTATAAGAGAAGAATATAATTTAAAAAAGAAAAAGGCTCACTTCTAGTTGACTGTGAAATTGGGTTGTTACGGGTGTATCATGAATTTGGCTCCATGCTTCATCAAAATCTTCGTTGGAAAGTTCATTGGTAACTTTTGTAAGTTCTAAATCTATTTCTTTCTTCACCTAAATTATCATAATTAAGGTGAATAGTTTTAAAGAGATGCTTTGCAAACAAAATGCCAAACTTTACCTGATCAATCAATTCATCAGGAAATTCTTCAAATGATTCTAAATCCAAGTTTGCAGGTTTACTTCCATGAACTGGATGCATTACCGCATCACGTCGTAACAGCGTGACCATCTCAATATCAATGAGCTTTTGGATTTCAGAGTCACCATCAGAAGCTTCTTCGAATGAATCAATATCTGAATTGATGTTAACAGGTCGAGGAAGGTCGCGCTGTACAGCTTGAGACCTGCACCTAAGACGGGCCATTTCTATTTAAATAAATATATATGTATATACACGATAAGTCGAATATCATTTTTATTGAACAATCGAGAGTATATTGAATTAAATAGATCACCTTCTTCTTCTTGTTGAGCCTTCAATTTTTTATCTCTATCACTAGCATCTTCTTCTATTCCTTCGGTATCATCTTTGGGTTCTTCTTTCCCTTCGACGTCAGGTAAAACGATTTCAAAATCATTTTTTGGTGCAGGCAAATTTAACAATCCTGCTCTAAGTTGTTTAATAGTCGCAGTGTCAACTGATAATGAAAGAGTTGTTAGTTGTAAATAAAATTTCATAATTGTTAATAATAATTGTTTCAGATTAAACCAAATCAGATTAAAATGAAGACCATTTTAACTATAAAAATGGGTTAAAAGAAGAATAACGAAATTTTATATAGTCATGAAATATTGAAATTTTCAGTTTAACCTGATTTGTTTTAATTTATCATAACAGTTAATCATTTCATATATTATTATTGTTTTATAACACACCAGCAGCTGGAGTTCTTGGTGTCCTTAGCGAAAGAAGAGTTCCTGGCGTCCTTGGTGTTTGTGTTGAACCTACTACCGTTCTTGGTGTTCTTGGTGTTCTTAATGGTAGACTAGTGCTAGAAGGAGTGTAGTCTGTAAGAGAAGAAACCTTATCCGATTCTCCTACAACTGCTTTAACGTTTTGTCCAGCAAACCCAATTTTTACAATCTACAATGGTAAAACGTTGGTTTCTTAGTCTTTTTTAATAAATAACGATAGTATCATGAGTTTTTTATTTTTTTACAAACCTCTTCAAGTTCGGTTTCTCCAACTTGTGGTGCAGGAAGAATTAATTTTCTTCGTTTGTTAATTTGTTCTGCTTGTTTTAATTTATT